AGGTACACTTGCTGTACTGTAAACAATCAGAATACCAGTTTTTTCGAGAAATAACATAGTGAGGTGTTAATTAGCGATATGTTGTGCAAGATTACGAAACTTGTTTTACCGTACCTTCGTCGGTGGAATACTTGACTTGCTTACAAGTCATCTAGCAACAAGCGAGTATTGTAGAATTCGGCATGACAATAAATTGCGCGCATTTTAATGAATTGTGGAAACTTGTTCGTCAGTGCATTTATTGTACCTCTGTCAATATGGGTATGCCATTCAACAACATGTCTGATAACCTTTATGCATGCGTAGCGAGCATGTTATCGGACATGTTGTTGAATGGATAAGTTTGGATAGGTAAGAAACATCACTTTTCTTACGATAGTGTTATTGAAGAAGTTCTTTTTGCGTAGAGAGATATACGATTTTGCGAATAAAATTTCTTAACGAAACTGATATTCGTGAAGCATTATTCGCAGCCATATACGCTGGTAAGCTAACTGTTTTACGCACAAATCATAAAAGCATAGAACGATTAGCTTTACTTTTCTTAATTCATGTTGCAGGTATTTGCTAGAACACTTTGGAAGTTTACGAGAATGCATAAAAGTTGTTGAAAAATTTGCAACCCCATGCTCTTTAGCAGTCGTAAATTAATAATTTTAGTTTCATTGCCTCCTGTCAAATACTTCCTCTAAAGATTTTGTTGATCTGCATATTGCGCTACCTTAGGCTGTTTGAAATCTCTGTTCAAGCCAACATCACATTTTTCCCAATATCGTTCAATGAGCAATACCTTAGCCAGAATACTAGCAAAACGGGATTATCGATAACAGTGATAACGAGTCAAGAAACCTGAGCACATCGCATTCGTAGTGGTCAAGTTTGGCGCGCCTCCTATGATTTATGAAGCCGAAACAAGTAGTGAGCCAAGGCCCGACTGGCGTATAAGACATAGGACCAAGTAACGTCTGCTTTTTTGATTTGTCCAAAAAAAGAAGTATTCATATGAATGCTGAGACAAGTCTGATGTTTGCGTCACTTAAAATGCCTAAATTTGGCTCAATACCTCGTGAACTCCTACTTTCAGTTGATCATTCACTCTGTCGTCTCGATTGAAGATGTCTCGCCTCTGAGACATGCGAATACTCAATAATATAATATCTCATTCAACCATTACTGATCACGCTAGTTGACCAGTGGTTCGCTCGATGAGATTTCGATCTTTCGAAGGGCTGAATCTGTGAGGTGTCCTGGGTTCTTCGAATACGAAGCGAAGTTGTAACGTGTCAGGCCTATTAATACA